TTCCCTTTCCCCATTCAATCAATAAATTGAAGAGGATCCAGTAGGAAGAGCTTGCACACATATCTGGCTAAGAAAACATCTTCTACTCACATATATATACACATGAGGCCTTTGAAAAGAGTACCCACGGGAGAAGAAGAACCAAGCCCAGGGAACATATGGATGACAAAGCTGTGGCTCTGTGTTGTTTTAGAAGTCCCCTAAACTCACTGTGAAGATATCCCATTTGAAACATTTGTACAGATCATCGCACTATTTCCAGTAATTCTTGTTAAGCCCTCCACCACCCCCAAATTAAGAGAACTGCGTGACTGCTTCAAAGAAAGCTATTTCCGCACACACAGCCTGCGTTCTAATGCCGAGAAAGACAGGTGAGATGCTGTGGGGTGACACCTCCTGTAGGCTGGATGCGTACAGAGACTCGGAGCCTGAACTTTCTCTGACATACGAACAGGTTTACATGTGTGTTAGGTTATACGTATTTTTTTCATTAAACCATTCATATGTTTTATCTTGATTCTTATAAATCTGACCTTTCCAAATTTCTGTTTGCTTAATGTGGTAGCTGACATACTGAGAGATAGTAATATAGTTAACATTACCCACAGAGAAACGTCTCAGCAATTGAGGAAGTGTTTTCTGCCTCTGATTCCCCACGTTTATGCCAGGAAAGCCTCTCTGCCAGCTGAGGGTCGTTTTTCAGTGAGCCTGCCCATTCCCGCCTGTTCTGAGCTCAGGAGTTTCACGAGTTTCATCCTAGGACACGCACAGCCAGTAGGTCAGGTCTGGGCCATAATTAAGAACTGGCTTGTTATTCCCCTCGAAGAGTTGCTGCCCCAGGAGATCGGACCTTCCGTGCACACAGTGTAGTAGGCTGTTGGGCAGTCACGATGCATTTTTCTGTGCAAAAATACGTTACGACTTTCTTAACAACCCAATACTTTAGGTTTTCTTTTTTCTTTCTTTCCACCCTCCACAGGACATGCTCAGAACATCCCGTCCCCGTAAAGACCTAGAGATCTACAGGGAGTTTAACTGGGAGAGTTCCTTCTGCTGGTGACTGAGTGACTTTACCCCTCGACAATTAAAACATGTATTTTTAAAAAGATGTGGAGTTAGGAAGGAGAGAAGGAGGTGATAAAACAACACATATTTGACCCATCCACACACTCGCTCTACCAGCAGACACACTCCAACTCACTCACCAGCCACACGCCCTGCTGCTGAGGCTTTACTTGGGAAAGGTCATGAGGCCACTCCTGCATGACGTGCACCACTGTGGTCATTGAGCTGTCGTGCTGGGAAGGCCACAGAGCCAGAGGCTGGCCGTGGGGTTTTGCCCTGTCGTGATTTCTGCGCTCTTCTGGGACTGTCGTTGTGGGAACGCCAATGCGATGACCTACAGCACCGTCCTCCAGCGGTGAGGAAAGGGCCTGGAAGATCCCTGGGGCTGATCTGCACTCGACGCAGTCGCTCATCTGTCTGAGCTAAGCAAGCAGCAAGCGTGGACATGCTGCACTTCCCCTCGGTATCGAGGAAAGTATCGCCAGACTCTGACCTGAAGCAGGAGGTCATAATGTGGGGCGGTGAGACTGACTCGAAGGATGGCATCTGGCCTGTGTCTGGGAGCAGAGGGTGCCCACTTCAGGGGACCCGCTTACTCCAGTCCTTTTCTCAGTATAACGTAAAACTGCGTTTAATGCAGTTCAAACGAGATCAGTGCTCCCATGTGTGAATCTATACTGTCCAGAGAGAATCTAAGCTGTGTTTATGAAAGGTGAGGTTTCACTAAACAACTGATAACCACTCTGGGGCTGGGGCCACGGCTCGGTGGTCGAGGGAGCTGGGTATCATGCGGTTGATCAGAGTTGGCATCCTGGACCTGGAGTCTTAAAAAACATGCCAGGTACATGTGGGACATGCCCCAGTACATGTGTGTGCATGCCCCTAACCCCAGCAGGGTGGAGAGATGGAGGAGGCCAGATCGTAGTACTAACACGTCTTACTGGGAGGGGGGTGCTTGCTCTCTCCTCTCTCCCTCTCCTCTCTCTCTGTCTCTCCTTGGCAAGTGCACATGCCATCTGGAAATTAAAAGAATCAATCAGGATGTTCCACTCTGAAGGTAGTGGGAACCGTACAGGATTATAGCAGGTCGGTCTTGGTTTCGACAGACACCACAGTCTTCCAGATATTTCTTTTACCAAATCACTGATTTGGAGAGCAGTTTAAGCTCAGTCTTTGGAGGCTAGCAGATGGACTCCCTCGTAGTTGACCATGGTTTGAATCCTAGACCCGGTGGCGTAAACACACCGGGCACGTGTGCATGCGTGTCCAAGATCCCAAGAGGAGAATGGAGGAGAAGGGATTGCGGCGTGGCCGTCCCCTCTGGGGGGTGATTTCTCACTTTGTCTTCCTGTTTCTCTCTGTCTCTCCAGTGAGTGCACATGCCCTATAGCAAAAATCTCTCTTAAACAAATAAACTCAGTCTTTAATTTTTAAAGACCAAGGGACCTAAAGTTAGATCATCTGAGAAGATTGGCTGCTTTTTGAAATTAAAAAAAAAAATGGATCTCTGACTAATCATTACTTTCAAATTTCTGAAATAACCGGTAGGAAAACTGAGGAGCTAGAGTACAATTTGTAGAGTTCTACTGGGTTCTCTGGAAAAGTCTCTACCTGAAACTGGGCCTGATGGGTCGTTACTCTAAACTCTTAGTTTCAGGAAAGAAATCTGTTTACGAATGAGAGGAATCTTAAAAGAACGTGAAAAGCCTCAAACTTTACTTCCATCCTAAGTGCGTAAACAAGCAAGGCCTTCCAGGGACCTCACGGACGTGGAGACACCGTCCTCACTGTGTCCTAAGGGTCTGCACTTCTCCAGGGGATCCACCCTCTCTCCCTCTTCTGCTAGTGAGGCAATCCACTTTCAACTCATGGTTTTGTCTGTAACATCAGCCACTGGGAGGCAGGGCAGAGGCATGGTCCTCGGAGGTTGACCCGAGCATAGAGTCACGTGTACGTGGGAGCTCCCCGCCTTTGCTATCTGAAGTCGGGCTACACTGGCTGGACGCTCAGACGGGAAACCGCTAACACTGCTCACCTGCCCTGACTCAGATGAGAACGTGCGTCCCACCATGTTCACTGCGTGTGTCTTTGTTCATGCTGAAGCGAGGCACACACGGTAAAACTGTAATGCCTCCAGGGAATGGCCGGTCACTGTGGGGCGACTACGCCTCAAGGTAAAACTTAGTCTGCCTAATGTGGCTTACATAACGGAATGCTCACAGCACGGGGCACGGGGCACGGGGCACAGGGCACATACATCAGCAGCAGGGAGCGGCAAGAGGAAACCAACGTGATTTTTAAAGAACTGTCCATCTTTCTCTATGGAGACAGTTTTGCAAACATTCATCTCTTCTCAGGAAAGACAGAAACATGCAGACTACGCTCAGACATGTAGGAGAAGCTGCTGGAATCCCAACTCCACTCACCATTGCTAGTTTCGAATAGCTGAGCACATGCAGACTCTAGTCCGAAGGCTCCTTTCACAAGCAGAGCTTGCTTTTGCATTTTGCTAGGGTCAGCATCAGCCTTTTAAACTGCAGAACAACCAATAAGGCTGTGTGCAAAGCACGAAACTGTACCGTGTGCAACAACCATGTTCATATCACACAGTGGACAGTAGCTCAGGACAGTGAATATGAGAACAGTCCAACGAGCACATGAGAGGTGGAGACGTTACCTTTTGTCCTGGACGACCAGATGCTCCGGGTTCTCCCTGCCCAAAGAAAACCAAAGATGAGAAGGACGGTCTTTAAAGAATCTCCCCAAACCCCTAGGCCTCCGGGGACTTCCATGGAGACAGCCCAGCCTCCCCGATCACGTGCTCGATCCCTTCTCCTCTGCCGCTCACTGGACAGAGAGGAAGATGACTGATGTCCTTGGGTAGCTCACACGCAAAAGCACTAATCTGCAAAATCAGCCGGGAAGGGAAGGCAAGGCAAAGCGAGACCTCTTATCTAAGTTTTTGTGAGATTTCCACAAATACTCGCTGTTTTTGGAAGCTGATTATTGTGTGCACACACGCATGCTCACAGCCATCAGACCTGGCACCATCGGAGTCGGGACTCCTGAGTACAAGCACGTGTAGGCTCTGCTTACCTTAATTCCTGCAGCAGACGACCCGGGGTCCCCCTAAAAGGAAAGCCATGACCGAGGGTGTGGCATGTGATAGGACAGGAGACGCCACCACCCTCCAACACAAGTGCCCAGAGGCACCCCTGGCTGCTGGCCCACTGTGCTCAAGACATCGGGCCAACCCGCCATCCAGGACGATGCAGCCAGCTGCCAGGGCAAAGCGCTTCCCTAAAACATGGTTTTATTTTGAAAGCAAGTATATAAGGACCGCACTCCTTGGAGTAAACGTAAATACACACACAAATCGCTTCCTTTGACATCGAGCTTAAAACACTATTCCGAGGGCCAGCTAGCGGCTGTGGTTAAGGCTGCTGGATGTCACACGGCTGACCGTGTGGTTTGGGTCCTGGACCTGGTGGCTGGAGAAACTCATCGGGTGTGTGTGTGGGTGCCCTAAATCCTGAGAAGATGGAGAAGTGATCGTGGGGTGATTTCTCATCACCTCCCACCCCCACCCTCACACGTCAGTAGTCACTAATGAGAAAAAAATAAAGTAGAAACTTTAGGAAAGAAAAGCGCTCAGGAAGGAAAAGAAAGCACATGTTGCTTTCGAGGACATAGCTGTACGTGCAGGCTCCTCTGACACGCGTGACTGCTACTACATGACGACAAGTGAGAGCGTCACCGAGCACAGGGGACCCGAGACCGCCTCAGCAGAGTGAGCTGATCGTGTCTCCAACCCCAGCAGTCAGCCGTGTTCCAAATGAGACTCAAAACAAACGTGGTGAATAAAGAGATGCGTCCATTTCTGCTGGGTCAGAAAGCCCTGGAGGCCGAGACAGGCGTGCAACGTTTTGCACAAGACGTGTCACTCACGAAGCTACGCCGACTTTGTGAGCTTTTATCTCCTCGGCCCTCACAGACCCTCCGGGAGAGACAGGACAGCGACGCCTCCTGTTCCGTAGACGAGGAAATGGAAGCAACTTGAGGTAACATGCATTTTGCACTGCTGTCTACCACCAAAGGTTCTCTTTATCAGAATGAGAGACAATTGCTGGCTTACTGCATTCTGATGACGGGGCACAAATGTCCTAATAAACTATGAATGAGAGGGCTTCCTTTCCCAGGGCTTTAATGGAGGGTGGGCAGATGACTGACAAGTGGGGAAAGACGGGCTCCCCCTCCCGTAGAGTGGAGGGAAGGACGCTTTCTGAGAGGCGGCTGCATTCGTGGACGTCCGAGTGGCTCCACTTGATGAATAGCGAAGAGTGCTATTTCTATGCTCTCTGTAAAGATTTAGAACTGTGAAATCTCAAGGAATTTTTATAACTTTTAAGTGGCAAAGCAACTGCAGGAACACCCGCAGGTCCAGCCTTTCCAAGGACGACGCTGCAGTGCTGGGGATGAAGCAGTTCCCATATCCTCCTCCCGGGGTGAAAGCGGGTATGGGGTTAAGGGTAGAAACCCAACTCTGTCTCGAGTATACCCTCTGCTTCGTATGTCAGTGGGTTTGGAGATAAACCCGACTTCACAATTTTTCATTCAGGCACTTCCTGCTGTTGCTTATGACAACCTGCGAATGCAGCCCTGCAGGTAAGTGTGCGTGCCTGTCCGCAGGCATATGTGCTCACGTGCAGTGGACAGGGCGGCTTATTGGCCTCCCTCATTAATTCACGCTGAGTGCGTACTGCCCAGCACGCTGTGAGGCCACGGTGCTGGGAGCTGCGTGTGAGCAGTGCCGTCACGACCCCTGCCTGTGCCCTGAACACACTCACCAGGGAGAGGCAGTGAGCGAGAGAAGAGACCAAGAAAGCTCCTCCCCGCCATGGGGCGCGCTCACCACAATCCCTTCTCCATTTCTCCCTCTTTTTGGAATTTTGGACATACACTCACATGTGCCCAGTGTGTTTCTTAAGTCTCTGGGTCTGGGACTTGAACCAACTTTTTAAAAATTTTTTTGAGGTTTATGCTATAGGGCACGTGCGCTCGCCAGAAAGACAGAGAGAGATAGAGAGACAGAAAGTGAGAAATCGCCCCCTGGGGGGATGGCCTCGCTGCAATCCCTAAGTGCTAAGGAGGGCCGTGCACTAGGTGCGGCCTGCACCAGGGAGGGGGCACCCCCGAGGCCTTCAGGTGAGACCTGAAGAAGCCAGTGTGGCCGGTGGCGGTCACAAGCACAGTGTGGGTCCTGAACAGGCTGGGAGAGTACGGACCAAAGGTGCTACCCAGAGGTGAGGTAGGCAGTGAAGTCAGAGAGGTGGAGACGGGAGGGCAGACGCAGGCCAGTGGGACCCCAGAGTCCACGGGCCCTTCTGGATTGGCAGAGCCACAGGGAAGGGGACAGTGGTGTGGCCAGGTCAATTGGCTTGCTGACCGATGCCCACGTGAGGGGGGAACATATGAGAAAGCAGCGTCTACCAGTGCTGCTGGGACCGCCACCCCCGAGGCTAGTGTGTCGCCCTGTGACGTCACTGTCCCTGATCCAGATTGGGCTCCTTTTTTTTGGAGAGGTTTTCTCTACAGGGCGCGTGCACTTGCCAGACAGAGAGAGACATAGAGACATAGAGACAGAAAGCAAGAAATCACCCCCTGGGGGGATGGTCACGCCGCAATCCCTTCTCCTCCATTCTCCTCTCGGGATCGTGGGCATGCATGCACACGTGCCTGGCGTGAGTTTTAAGCCATCGGGTCCGGGACGCGAACCACGGTCGACTACGTGGGAGTCCAGCGACATAGCCATTACGCTAACTGCTGGTTCCCGAGATGGGGCTCTTCTTGAATCCAGATCGTGCCGTCCTGGGCAGCCACAGAGGGCCCCGGCCCCGTGATCTCCGAGGTCCACGGCCCGGATGACCGATCTGGAAAGCCTTGGACTGCTTCCCCACCCAGAGACACTGAGTTGGGTTGAAGGGAAACTCTTACTAGAGTGAGCTGGCCAGTGATGTAACTTCCTCCCTCAGTGGCAGAAAAGAAATTTCTGTTTAACCTGGTACTTTTCCATCCAGCTCCATAAATGATGAATGAGTTTTACATACTGAATGCAGAGGCCAGGAGAAGGGTGTTTCCAACATGCTGGAAACAAATCATATGACAGAAGCAGGAAATGTTTAAAAAACACATCAAAAATTATATTCCAATTACAGCATTCTTGGGATGAATGCGACAGGTCAGATTACATACTGTACACATCGCAGATTCCCATTTACAATCCCCCGTCTGACCCACTGTAGGTTTATAGATGTGATTTCCGTTTTAACTGGAGGATTTCTGACACTTAGTTTCAGCTGACTAATAAAAGTTTTGATAAAAAAATCCATTTGATTTCAATTTCCATTTGGTAGGAAAAGGTAATATTTACTGAGAGTTTCTTAGATGTGAGTCAGAATGGCAAATGATTTGCATTAACATATAAAATAAGTACATTATTCCTTAAAGATGATTCAGTCTTTTCAAAGAAAAATGTTGCTTTACTATTGTAAAATTAAATTGCCAAAAATGTGCAATAAAGAAACAATTATTGACCTATGTTCCAAAGTGAAGCTTTAAAAATATGTTTTCGAAATCATAAAATTCTTGACATAAACCCACATATGCGCAGTTTGGACTCGGTATACATTTTTCTCACTTCAAGAAACGGCCCTTCATATTGATCTTCTCTCTTGTGAGCAGAGTTTGGCAACCGCGTCAAACCCAGTTGTCCACCTCTGCGAGACCCACGGGTTAGGAATGCTTTTTACCTTTCCAAGTGGCGAAAAGAATCAAAATAACTGTAATATTCTATGACACATGAAAACGACATGAAACTAAAGCTTGGGTGTCCAGGAATCGGGTCTGACTGGAACACAGCCACGCTCCCTTGCTGATGACTGTACGTGGCTGCACGCACATTACAACCGCAGCGCGGAGTGGCTGTGACAGAGACCAGCTGGCTCACAGAATCTAAAATATTTACTTTGCGGTCCTTTACAGAAAAGGTTTGCTGAGCACAAACAAGAAAGTTCAGTAGACCCTCCTGGCTGATATTCCCAGAGTTGCACGTTGGACTTCGGGGGCGGGCAGCGTGGCCCATCCGACTCCTCTGTCGTCACGTCCTCTTTGCTGGATAAATCAGTGGACGACAGTGGTGCTCACGGGGCATTTTGTTCCCTGGCACCCTGGCAATTCGGAGACAGGCTCGGCTGTCACAGCTAAGGGGCGCTACTGGCAGCTAGTGGGTAGAGGCCAAGAGAGATGCCAGACATCTGTCTGCCCCACCTCAGAAACTACCTGGCCCGGGACCAGCAGATGGCATACTGGTGACATCGCTGGATGCCCATGTAGTTGACTGTGGTTCAAGTCCTGGACTTGGCTTCTTAAAAACTCACACTGGGCATGTGTGCATGCATGCCCAAAATCCCAAGAGGAGAATGGAGAATGCAGTGTGGCATCCCTATGGGGGGTGACTTCTTGCTTTCTGTCTCTATCTCTCTGGTGAGTGCACACACACCCTATTGCAAAAATCTATCTCTTAAAAACAAAAAAAAGAAACTACATGGCCCCGAATGCCACCAGTGCTGTAGCTGAGAAAACCAGGTCTAAGTGAAACCAGGGGTCCCCTCTGAGTTCCAGACAACTCTTGAAATGCGAATACAGTTTGGTTTGGTGACAGTCATGCATTCCTAATGCCCAAGCCAGAGCTACATTAATATTTAAGAGAAAGATATTTCTTATTTGCGGGTGTGCTTTCATGACTATTATCCATTTTCAAAGAAGAATGGTCTCATTCTCGATTATAAGCCTAAATGAATCTTTTTAAAATCAGTCAATCACTTGATTTAAATTAAAATCCAGGGAACCAGCAGTTAGCGTAATGGCTATGTCACTGGACTCCCACGTAGTTGACCGCGGTTCGTGTCCCGGACCCGGTGGCTTAAAACTCATGCCAGGCACGTGCGCGTGCATGACCAAGATCCCGAGAGGAGAATGGAGGAGAAGGGATTGTGGCGTGACCATCCCCCCTGGGGGGTGATTTCTCACTTTCTGTCTCTCTGTCTCTCTCTGTCTGTTTGGCGAGCGCATGCGCCCTATAGCGGAACCCTCTCCAAAAAAAAAAAAAAATTCATCTCACTCTATTCTATTTTCAGTTTGTTAAAAGATTTTCTTTTTACTTTTAAACACACAGCCCGGAAGTAAGATACCCTCCACATCAGAGATGCCCACAGGGCCTGGATCCGAGCACGGGGTGCCGTGGCCACCCATAGACTCCTGCATCGTCCGTTGGCGATAGCTCAAAGGACTAAGAAGAAAAGACAATGCAAAGGCTAACCAGAGGTTCGGACTTAGGGACGTCAAGTCGAGGCAAGTTTTCACGAGTGTGTTTCCTCCAAAGATTGGGAAAAACGGAGTCACTCAGAAAGCTATTTTATATGCCTGCACCTGTAGGGAGTACCCATTTACATGTGGACAAGTAGGTATTTTACTCCTTGACAGCCACATTCCTGGAAACTTAGCTACACGTTTTCCAGAATTTGCAACGTGCCATTTTACTTTGAAAATACTTATATTTGTGGGTAAGAGCTTGTAGAACGTTTTCTAAATCACACATGCAATTGTATGTGTACAATTGTGTGCGTGTGTGTAGTAGTGTGTGTGTACTTGCTGACGAGAGAAACACAGAGAGAGAGACAGGGAAGGTGAGGAGTCACGCGCCAGAGGGACGGCCGTGCCATCGCCGCTTCTCTCCCATTCTCTTGGGATTGTGAGCACACACACACACACACACCGTCATGTCTCCCAGGCCGCCAGGTCTGGGACGTGGAGCGCAGGCGGCCATGCCATCAGCCACCTGAGCACCCGCTGGCCCTGAGAGTCCGTGACTGGGCCGTGGAGGGTCTGAAAGCCCCATCTGTGTACACGGCCCTCTCCCTCCCACCCCTCCGGAAACCCCGTCTGTATTCACGTGACGACATGCCGCTCTCCCTCACGCCCTGTCGTACGAACCCCATTTGTGCACACGCAATGGCACGCCCGCTCTCCCACATGCCCCGTCATAGCTCACACCACAGTATACACGGCCCACCCGCTCTCCCACACGCCCCGTCATAGCTCACACCATGGTACACGACACGCCACGCCCGTTCTCTCACACGCCCCGTCGTAGCTCACACCACAGTACACACGGCCCACCCGCTCTCCCACACGCCCCGTCGTAGCTCACACCACGGTACACGACACGCCCGCTCTCCCACACGCCCCGTCATAGCTCACACCATGGTACACAACACGCCCGCTCTCCCTTACACTGTACCTTTTCGCCTGTGTCTCCTTTAGGGCCACTCTCTCCAGCATCTCCCTGGGGAGAGGAGAAAGAAATACGTGTGAAATATTCTGGTGACACGAAGCAGAGTCTTCCGCATTGTCCTGGCAGTGGCCTGAGGTCAGCAGAGCAGAGGTACAAACGGAATGCGGAATGTCTCTGCCCGGGGCCAAGAGCTGACATCACTCAGGCCCCGCACTCTCTCACGCCTCTGCTCCAAGCTCCCCTGTCCCCTGATAGTGCCAGGTGCCAACCCCTCTTCTCCTCACCCCATTCCTGCCGCCTGGACCACGCCCCCACCTGCATAGGTCCTGCCCACCTGTGTAAGTCCAGCCCACCTTAGTGCCCCTGGCCAGGACTGCAGGCATGACACTCACACCAGGCACGTGAGTGTGCACGTCTGAAATCCCGAGAGGAGGATGGAGAAGGAACTGCAGTGTGGCATCCCCTCTGGGGGGTGACTTCTCCCTTTCTGTCTCTCTGTCAGGTACACGTACCCTATAGCAAAACAAAAGCAAAAACACAAAAACTCTCTAAAAAAGAAAAAAAAAAAACCTGAAAAAACCTGGGACCAGGTGGCCATTTCCCCGGACCTACATGGCCCTGGGCGACGTTTGTGAAATGACCATCATGTTCATTAGAAAACTGTGTTTTTGAATCACAGTAACATGGTTTTGGGAGTTTATGGTGTGTGATGTGGGGGCCTCCTGTGGCCATTTCTTCACTGACACCCCTCGGGACTGCAGAGCCGTGGTCTGGGACATCACTGAGCCACGTCTGACGGCTCACGTCCTCACGTCCTCACGTCCCTGGCGGTGTGCAGGGAGACGTCGGGGCGGGCAGGCGGGCCGTGCCCACTGCACATGGCGGTGACGCGGGTGGAACACCACGACGATACGCGCTAGGCAGCGCTGTGCGCAGCGATGAGGATGGCGTGGAGCACAAGGCAGGCACTAAGGAGGACAAGGTGCCAGGGCCCCTGTGATGCACCAGCGGGAATGCCTTCCCTAGCTTCGTGGCAGGTCAGCTTTCTAGCGTTTAAAAATTTCCTTAAAACCAGAGAAACTATTAGTAATGGCTTCTTGGGAGAATGACAGAGAGGAGGCGGGAGAGGGGGGTCTTCCACTTTTCCTCTGTATTTTCTTTCCTAGTTTTAGGTGAGCAGGTAACTCCCCAGGATGGTGTGCCTGTGTGACGAGACGCAGCCGCAGCCCCGCAGCCCCGCAGCCCTGCAGCCCTGCAGCCCCATGCCAGGTGAGTAACATGCCTTTCCCTCCTTCACTTCTGCGCGGACAACTTGTCCAATGACTGGTTAATTTCAGGTTAATTGCCAAGGACCAGCTGGATGCCCAATATGTGGACTGGTAGTCAGTTATGAGGGACTTTGACAGGCAGCTTATCTGCGTGCCTTAAAAAAAATGCTTAGAAATCCCTTGATTGAAAAGCAAAGCAAACAAGCCAAGCAAACCTTTTCTGTTCTTTCTTTCCTGAGAAAAACTGGCTGAGAGTAGCCGTACAGTGGGGGCTCTAACTGCACTGTCCTCACGCAATGGCCTTTTGCATCCCTCTCTTTCCATTTAAATAAATGCCTTTTGTTGCTGTTGTTTTAGAAGGCTGAAAATAGAATCAAGAATTGTTCTTGATCTTTGGATGAGCTTATTTGGGGATTCGAGGTTGGCACTGACATGTCAGGAGGGTCCTACCTCTCCTGACAAGCCTGGTCAGTGTCCTGTCGGCTACCTAGTCAGTACACTTTACACTTCTCAAACACATTATAGTCAATGCCAGAGAACCGGGAGGTGGGCTGGGCCTGCCCTGAGAGTGTAGGAGCCATCAGCACAGACCCTACAGCAGAAGGGAGGGCCGGCGGAACTGACAGCGAGGCCCGCTCTCCCCTGCTTACTCCTTTTGGTTTGTACAGGAATTCTCCGTGGAGCAACTGCAGATCATTGCTGCAGGGAAACCTCTGCCCCGCTTTGACCTGGGACACACGAAGCAGCGGAGAGAGGTGTGGGTGCTTCGGAGAAGTACTGGGATGGCTTTAGCAAGTAGACGGGACAGAGGTGTTGCAGGCCTGGGGATATCTGAGAGCAGTTTACGAGCTTTACACAGGATGTCTAGAATTTCTCCCTCTCTCTCATTTCTTTAAAGATTAGTACTTGAATTTCTCTCTGTAAATACGAAGTACACTATTTTCTCCTTCCACTGATTAAGTTTGAAGAAAAATTCCAAACAGCAGGGCTCATTATCTCTCTTTGCCTGTCAGTGTTATCCTCCCATCCAGCCGGCCATCCCTGCCATCTGGGCACATCTCTGGGGGAGAGCAAGGGTCAGCAGAGGCAGCATCATCCTCACCTTCTCTCCTCGATCTCCAGGTTCTCCCTGAACAAGAGAGCAGAGATTAGGTGACGTTAAATTATGAACATGGAATAAAAGCAGCATCAAACAAAACAAACACGAACACACTTGCTAAATGACATGTGGCATGCTCTCTTTTGACTATAGGTAGTCACAGTTTGAATGCAAATGGTGAGATGACTCTCCAGGAAAATTTGGACATGGGTATCACTATCAAATGTAATATGACGCTTTTGCTTCTACAGGGCTAAGGAAATGTATTCGAGGATTATCACCTGGAAACTGGCCTCTGAGGACCTGGGGAGAACACTGACGTGGCCTGAGAGGTCTCTTGGTCTGCTCCTTCTCATCCAGGACCAATGCGGAGGACTGGCATTGGTCCTGGATGAGAAGGACCAATCCACTGGGCCTGATTCAAAGCACCCCTATACATGGCTATTTCATGGATCTGGTGTCCTGGTGGTTGTCCAGTCTGCCTCTCCCCAAAATGATTGTTGATAGTCCTGGGCTTGAACTCCTCACGGTGTCACTTATTCCCTTCATCTGTGGCTGACTGGCATGCTCCCGATAGCGTGTGTTTAGGAGGCCTCATTGCCTTCAGCATGGGCAGACTCTGAGTGAGTGCAGGAGAGACGTCCTCACTCACAATGACGGCCAGGAGAGCAGAGAACAAAAACGCAAAATTCTGGACTGAAGAGGATCTTATTTCCGCTTTTCCCAGGAGAGGGCAAAGGCTGGAGTGGCAGAGTTCTAAAGCAAAGCACACACATTATGACCGTCTGAACTGCTTGGCTAAATGTTGCCATGAGATCAGGCTGCCTTTTTTAAAAGGTGGTGTAAGGTGATCATTGTGGGTTGTGTTTATTGTTTGTCTTAGTTATAACCCACTCTGTGTATCAGTTTGAAGGCAAAACTCATTTTGTGGAACTCATTCTGACCTTTCGACTTGCTGAATTCCTGGCCACCTCCACCATTCAAAGGCCATCCTGGTGGTCGCTAGGCAACCCTAGAATAGCACTAGGAACATGCAATAAGTGTTGGCCCCTATCATTTTAGCATAGGGCAAGAGAGGGAAGAAGAAAGAAAAGTGGTTGTCATCCCAGAAGGAATATTTTCTTTCCTCTCTTGCGGGACAAAGGACAGGTCTATAAATTATGAGCTGTCCTAGGCACCTGTCAATAGCAACGTGATCTTCGAAATCAGCTGACAAGCACCTGTGGGTACAGATACATACCAGCACAGCTGACGGGATTAGACATCAGTTTGGTACTTCAAGGGATGTTCACTTATCAAAGGACTAAGGATCTGTCTCCTGCTTGGTTTAAACTGAACTGTCACCAACATTTTTATATGTCACAGATTCATCTGCTCTTCAAGAAACAAAGGAAACGTGCACTCCAAAAAACCCTCAGTACATTTCCCCTATTTAGTAATTCAGCCTATATCCATCTTAAAATTTAGGAAGCTTTTTCTGCTCTTTGTCTGATTTCCGGTAATGTTCAAGGGTAAGAGGTGACCATCTCTTGAGCAAAAGCCCTAGTGGCACTGTGAGCATCATCTTCCGTAAGGCTTAGACACGTGCACATGTAGGCAGGATGGACATGGCTTTCGTTTTTATGTGCCCATTAAGAAGTAAAACGGCAATGGTCATGTTTGAAACACGGACTTTCACATGTTACTAAAGGTTCCAGGACAAAGTTTGTAGGAAATCTTATTCTACTTGTTTTTCCGACTCTTTAATGCAAATGAAAATACAAACATAATTTATTCATTGGTCACAAAGTTCTATGGTAGAGCATGCTATCCTACTGACATACAATCCATTCAAGTGCAACCAACGGAACCTAAAAAAATTGTAACAGTTTACAATGTCATGGGAATTCATGTGTCAAATGATCCCACGTTGTTTTATTTGTACTAACCTTTGATCCTGGTATTCCATTCTGTCCTACTGCTCCAGGCAACCCAGGCTCGCCCTCAAAATAAAAATAGATACTACTAAGTAAAAGACACAAAATCGATATATAATATAGGTCATTACGAGTCAAAATCAATATGTAATATAGATCATTGAAGAAGATCACCATCCAGTAATGCCCTAGAAATAGAGAATAAGGTGACTGTTACTGAAAATGCAAGCCAGCCCATCTGGTCCCGACTCCATGTGCCAGGAACAGGGGCACAATAGAGTGACTCTCCTTTGTTGTCTTCCATGAAGAGAGCTCGAGCAGCTTATCAACGGAACTAAAATCTAGTGTGCTGCTGGGAACAAGGTTGGCATCAAATAAATGTTTGTCGAATGAGTGAAAAATACCAAAATACCTGACAATGTAACCGTCTCTTGTTGGAGAACTTTTAGGTGATCCACCAGCTTAGAAGAATACAGACTAAATTCTTTTTTTTTTTTTTTTTTTTTTGTTATAGGGTGTGTACGCTCTCCAGAAACACAGAGAGAGACAGAGAGACAGAAAGCAAGAAATTCCCCCCCACCCCCCCAAGGGGATGGCCACTCCGCAATCCTTCTCCATTCTCCTCTCGGGATCTTGGGCACATATGCACACGTGCCCAGCGTGAGTTTAAGCCACCCGATCTGGAACTTCAACTGTGGTCGACCACATAGGAGTCCAGCAACATAGTCGTTACACCAACTGCTGGTCCCAAAGACTAAGTTCTAATATTTTCAAATTAGATTGAATCAAGTGAATATTTACAAATCTAAATATTGAAGAATATACATTTCTTGGGACACCTAATTCATTTAGACACATTTGACACAAAGGTAAAAACTGGCTTTGAGTTCTCTTTCCATTTTATTGTAAAAATCATTAGAATAAAATATTCAGATTTAGGTCTCATGGTCATCTTGAATGATAAGTTTTGGAAAAAAGATAAAAGATACTAGAGTAGGGCCAGAAGGTGGTATGGTGGTTAAGGTGCTGGACTCCCACGTGGCCAACCAAGGTTCGAGTCCCAGACCTGGTGGCTGCTTTCACACTTCCCCTTCTCGTTCTCTCTCTGGTGAGCAGATGAGTCCTGTAGCAAATTTTAAAAAAATAAATGAAATTAAATAATATTTTTGAAAAGCTACTAGGCTAGAAAAGTTTCCTATTTCAGAAAGATGTGTATGCTCTTTCTAGACTTTGGGCTGACACAGTTGCTTTCCAACAAGTAAAAGTCCCGCGATGTGCTCAGAAGCAAAGGGAAGGTACGCCCTTTGCATCCACGTGGCCTGGATGTCCATCAGCCCTACTTGCGTGTCCACTGCACAGCCCCAGGCCCCGCACTCCCCATGCTCCAGCTCCTGGACCGCGTGTCTCCCACTAAGGGTTGCAAATGGCCTCTGCTGTTTTTAAAAATAGATTTTATTTTTCAGAGCAGTTTTAGGCTCACTGCAAACTTGTTTTTTAAGAATGGCAGGAATTGTGCCCGTTTTATATTTGTGCTCTCAGCTTCAAAAACGCACACAATTATTAATAGCGGTAATATTTCTTAAGTACCAGGATCTTTACATTCATGAACTCAGTTCTCGCAAACTTCTGAGCAAAGAACTATTTCAAATCCCTACTTTATAATGTGGAAAATGCAAAGGCAGAGAGGTTAATTGATTTGTCCAGATTTACACAACTAAGTCCAATACTTGAATTTTCATGGTCTGGCTCAGGAAACTGTCTCCCCACGCTACGTTACACTGTGACCGAGTGAGTCCGGAAAGTGGGAGAAAGCGGGTGACGGCCACTTCCAGCCTCACGTTCGGCTATTTGGTTTCTCCATCCCATTTACACGCGACTTTGCAGAATGTACAGAAGTGAATTAAATACAACTTACATAAAGCTGGTTTATGGGTACCCACGAGATAACTAAAGCGAAGTGAAGCTGTACGGTATCTTCCTAGGAGTGCGAAAAGCGCTGCACTGTCATATTGGGCTATTCTACTTGCGGAAGTCAGCATCCTGGATCAAACCCGCTCCCTGTGTAAGTGCAATGCTTGCACTTTCCTCGGCAAAATGGCCAAACGTTGACTTGAATAACAATGGCCATTGTGGGGAAACTTTGAAGTGCCATTTGTCCATCACGAAGGGTAAAAACTTGGAAACAGGTACACCCTGAAAGAGGACCATCGCCTACTCGGTGACTGAGAAGAGAGGGTGCAGTCTGCTTCCTTCAGAAATCCTCAGCAGGACACACTAATACAACTCACGGTTAATGCAGGTCGGAGATGCCGCCAGGAAACAATACAAGCTTTGTTTTGACTGTCAAAGAATAACCATGGTAGCAGAGTTATTGAAAAGAAAAGAAAAAGAAAGGTTAAGCCCCTGGAACCAGACAAAATGCATGCTGAGATTTGGAAGCAAGGGAGAGAAACATTGCCTGGCATCGTCCTAACAGTCTCCTTAATATATGAACGTCGAGGGACCAACGCTTGATCCTTTTCTTCTTTGATTTTATATATTGTTAAAATAACTTTTAACATAAAAGGGACCCAGAAAATGCCATCTGCAATCCCACCAGTGTATCATAATTTTCTTCATTCTGTTCCTTTTCCTCCTAGTTTAATTTATGCTTATATATTTTCAAGCAATTGTAAACGTGCTGCATGGTTGGACATTCTGAATTTATTTTTAGAGTTTTTTAGATTTTTTTTTTCTTTTTGCTACAGTGTGTGTGTGCTCACAGGAGAAACTGAGATAGAAGCGAGAAATCATCCCCCCGGGGAATGGCCACACCTCAATCCCTCCTCCTCCATTCTCCTCTCAGGATCTTGGGCACGCGCACCCGTGAGCCTGAGTTTTAAGCTACAAAGTTCAGGACTTGAACCGTGGTCTACTACGTGCAAGTCCAGCAATGTAGCCATTATGCCATCTGCTGGTCCTGGACATTCTGAATTTTTAATATCTTTATACCACATGTGTGTTTACACGTGGTATTCACAACTGCCTTGCAAATGGCTTGACCATCACCTCTCCCGGGCAGGTGTGGCCCATGCTATCCACGCCGCACGCACAGTACTCATCCCTGCCTTGTTTCTGATGTTCACATTCTTTGTCAACTTATTTGATGATAATAAATTCCCTGTTCTTTTGTTTTTTAATCACCAGGGGGTGCATGAGCTACAGAGATCACCCCCAGAGGGGCCTGGCCATGCCGCAGTCCCTTCCCCTCACTCCTCCTTCCTGTCGGGATTCTGGGCATGCACACATGCCCGAAGCCGTCGAGGCCAGGATTCAACCTGCCGTCAGCCATGTAGGATGAGCTCCCACAAGCACTGAGCTACAGGGCTGGCCCCTCCGGACTGTTTTATTAGTCAGTGGAGACGCTTATTGCACTCACTGCACATTTCTAAAACTGCTCTGCGTTCTGACTTCTGTCCTTCTGCCAGAGGGTATGTCCACACATTGGAGGGACTGTGTGTGTTTGGGGTCGGGGGGTAGTGAGAAAGCACCCCCCGTGGGGCATGGTCATGCTGCAATCCCTTCTCCTCCACTTCCCCTTCTTTCAGGACTTTGGGCACCCACTCACACATGCCCAGCTGTGCAGTCGGCCATGTGGAATCTAGCTGCCTTACTGACCACGCCGCAGGGTGGCCCTTACTGCATTAGTAGGCTCTCACTGTGTCTATTTTTACTTTGCCAGCACTGGATATCAGTGTTTTCACTAATTTTATTTATTTATTTTTTAGAGGTTTTTGCCTTGGGGCATGCATGCTCACTGGAGAGAGAGACAGACAGACAGAGACTGAGAGGAAAAGTGGGACATCACCCCCCGGGTGGACGGCCACTGTAACTCCTTCTCCTCTACTCTCCTCCTGGGATCTTGGGCATGCACACACATGCGCCCGGAGTGATTTTGAAGCCACTGGGTCTGGGGCTCGAACTGCAGTTGACCATGTGGGAGTCCAATGATGTAACTAACCACTACGTCATCTGCTGGTCCCTTTCGAGGAGATTTCAAAACGCACTTAACTGTTGTTCAAGTTTACATTTCTTCTCATTTGTAAGAGTTTTTTGCTCATGTATTCAAAACTCAAGTTGGTATTCACAAAATGTTCAAGCTGAAAAGTGAACAAAGCTGTTTCCTGAGAATTGAGAGGGGACGTAAGGAAAAGGGCCATGTAGCATCTACCTTTTCACCAGTCTGACCAAGTGAGATGGGGCTGCAGGGCATTCTGTTATTGTCCAAGGCTTGAGTCCCAGGTCGTGTGAAAGAAGCCCAGAGATGAAATGCCGCACCACCCCCAGCACCGCGCCAGGCCCGGGGCCTGTGGCGCATCCAGCCACTCGCTGACATTTCGTGAAAACACGCAGTGCACCCGACGCTGACCGAGGTTTCGTGGGATGCAGACGCGCAGGGAGATCATGCTCAGCCAGGAAACGGTGCGTCCTTAGTACCATCAGGGCCTCTCAGTGACTTCCTGGGACTTCTTTTCCCAGCAGTTTCCTTACACTTTGTGAAGGGGAGAGGCATAGTTGGTAGATACCAGAGAGCAGTCTGACTGCGGAACGGCGCCCGGGTCCCACAGTGCACGGGTACGTCCCAGTGTCTGAGGACAGAACCTCACGGGAGGCCCCAAGCGCAGATCCACAGAGAACTGACTGAGCGGCTCCACCGAGCTGTCGATTCGAAGGCGGCCTCAGTACAGGACGCACGTGGCCATGTCCTGTCTCTGAACTGAACACACGTTGGGCCGACTTTTGAGAAGGATGGTTCACGACTTTTATTTTTAAAAACATAAATACATAAACTCTTCAAAAACTCGAATGTAAAACATCACTGGAGGCTTTGAGAGTTTCCAGTACTGCCATTCAAGGGCAACCTGAAAGAGCCCGGCAGAGAGGGGGCAATGCCGCTTCCCAAGGAGACCGAGCACCCCGGGACTGGCGGAGCAGTGCCATGGCGCATCGGCCCCAGCCCGGCTGGCCGTCTGCCACCTGGCATGGGAAATCTTGTCCTCTGCTTCTCTCTGGCTTTGAGAAAACCG